TCATCAAGAGCAACTCAAAGCTTCGATTAATCCAAGGTAAGGGTGTGAAATCTTACTATCTTAATCAATATGTTTGGTTATGTATGTGTATGGTTGATTGGTTAGAGTTTTGGAGAGTTTTCTATAAGCTTCCATTTTAGGTCGAAACTGATTCGATCGGTAGAAGCCGAGTTTTAATGATTGAAAATGAGAATAAGTGGTAGAATTTAGTCGAGGAATGTTGGACTAATGCTACTGGAAACAAGTTGGGATTTATCGGGAGATTTCATCGGGTGTTTGGATTCTGAACAGTGGGAGAAAGTTCAGTCCGCAGACGCTCTCTAGGCGAGCAGGTCGCGAGTGTTCGCTAGCATCTCGCTAGGCGAGTGCATAGAGAATGGTCCTAGACTTGGGACAGTGGTGTTTTGGTCTCCTTTGCTGGCAGCGAATGGAGTAGCGAATGACTCGCTGGGGGTTCGCTGTGGCGAACGAGGTAGCGAACGAAGTCTGTAGCTTCTGTTCTTGCTCGCTAGCAGTTAGCTAGGCGAGAAGGTGGCGAACGTTCGCTAGCAGCTCGCTAGGCGAGCGTGTAGCGAATGTAGCAGGATGAATTTTCCCTGTCGCGTGGTGCCGTCGTGGCTTGGGGTTTCGGTTGCGATCGACCCTTCTTTGATTTAATAGCTTATATGCTGGTTTGTGATGTGCTGTGGGTAGCCGTAAGGCGTGAATCCTAGTGTATGAATGTGATTTTGAATCGTGGCTTTTGGGCAAATTATGCATTGTTTAGAATTGAATAAAAATGCATGGCAATTGTGATGAATGATGAATATAATACACATTGTGAGTGCATGATAATTGTACGTGTTGATGTGTGAAGAATGCATGATAATATATTTGCGAATATGAATGCATTTGTGATATTTGATCCCGTGTAGGATCTGCAGAACCTCGCTTGATGCGATGGTTATATTTGATCCCGTGTAGGATCTGCAGAACCTCGCTTGATGCGATGGTTATATTTGATCCCGTGTAGGATCTGCAGAACCTCGCTTGATGCGATGGTTATATTTGATCCCGTGTAGGATCTGCAGAACCTCGCTTGATGCGATGGTTATATTTGATCCCGTGTAGGATCTGCAGAACCTCGCTTGATGCGATGGTTATATTTGATCCCGTGTAGGATCTGCAGAACCTCGTGTGCCCATGTGGGGTGTGAGCGATGGTTATATTTGATCCCTTGGAGGATTTGCAGAACCTCGCTTGATGCGACGGTTATATAGTGATCCCTAGGAAAATCTAATGAGCTATGGTGTAACCGTATAAGTGCGAGAGGGGTGAATTCTAAGAGAATCTGACGTACGAATGAGTCGGTACCGTGGTTGTAGCGGCATAGGGTCGAGGTGTCGGTCTCTATGAGTGCATTATCATCTTCATATGATGAATTGAAAATAATGCATTGAGAATGTATTAGTGTATGTATATATATATATATATATATATATATATATATATATATATATATATATTTATTGCGTCTGGTAAATATGAGAATGAGGTCGATGTATATGTAGAGAGATTCTACTCACTAGGGTAGAACGGCGATGCGTCATTCCTAGTGAGGTAGTTACCGGGGTAGAATGGCCGAGACGTTGTTCCCGGCAGAGCATAAGCGACGTACCCATAGTCCGGAAAGAGGATTGAGGGTAGTGAATGAGTTTTATATGGATAGCATGGTATGATTGCGATTATCATATGTAAATATGCATATGTGCAGGAATTGATGAGATGCGTTAGCGAATAAATAAATGTGAAAGATATTGACTGATGAATAGACGATTAAGTGTGAGCGATTATGTCTATGTGTATTTAATGCGGTGAGTATCTATTGTTATGCATTGTAGTGAATAAGTATGAGGTATAGGCATTCGGTACTTGTACATTTATATATATATATATATATATATATATATATATATATATATATATATATATATATATATATATATATATATATATATATATATATATATATATATATATATATATATATATATATATATATATATATATATATATATATATATATATATATATATATATATATATATATATATATATATATATATATATATATATATATATATATCTTATGCCTTGATTATTATGATAATGTTTCTCACCCTTCTGTTGTTTTATAATGTCCTACGAGGCATTGCAGATTAGGATTCGCAGGAGGTTTCTTTTGGAGTATAGTTCCTTTCCCTCGTGTCGGCCGCTCTGATATGTAACTTTGGGTAGATAGGCTTGTAGAATGTCTTAATGATGTTTTGTTTGTATGTGAATGAAGTTGTGAACAACCAGATGACATGTAATTACGTTTTGTCATGTCTTAAGTGAATATATATATGTTTTAGTCTTCCGCTTTAAGAGAAAACATGAATATGTAATTTCGAAGAATCATGCGTTTATTTTTAGTTGAGATTTACCCCTTTTGAGTTAATTCTTTTTAAACATTAATATTCATGTGGTCGTTTCGTGAGTATTGTGACACACTTCTTTTATACCTTAATGTAAATACACTCTGATGAAAATAAAAATACTTGCATTCGTGACTATACGTTTTGATATGTGATTATTTTGGGGTATAGAAAGGGGGCGTTACATATGACAGAGGCCGTATGTGGGTCTCAACCATCAGTCCAACGACGATGATGCTGCAGCGTGAACAATAAATCACCGATCATTCGATTCACTATAGTGAAGATGCACCAAAATGATCGGGTGAAACTGCAATTCGGCATGCATTAAGATATTCCAGTCGCTCTGGCTTCTTTGAGAGACTAGCATCAATTGAAAGTGAATGCACAATGGGGTCTAGATGATTGGAGAGACTTTGCTAAGGAGATGTGTCGATATTGGAAGAATCGACGTCACAATATCTTAAACGAGCCTGTTGTGGAAGGGGCTAGACCAAGTCATCAATATATGATTTGGTTTAGGTCGGTTACAACAACACAATAATTTGTGCCTGAGCCGACATATTTGATAGATCTGCGTCAACGCGCTTCTTCCTTATAGACACAAAAACAAACACTTGCCCAATAACAAACACCGCACCACACCCAATAACCACATCTACCCACCTAATCAATCTTCCAAACCCGCAACCCATTCATGCCACCCACCCAATCCCAACAACAAGAGCCTGATGTTACCGCCAACATCCAGACACCGACACCACATCTGCCTATAGCTTTGATGACTCTTTCGACTACACCCCAGTCCATCATAGCCCCCCACAAATGAACACACAATCGTCCTACCACCAAAATAACCAACTATTATTTGACTACCTAACCCCATAACAACCATTGCATCGTCTCCAAAACGATTCAATGTGCCAATTCGGCCAACCATACCATCCGCACCTAACCCAACCCCCCGTCCAAACTTCGAAAACATGGGCATGAAACTGAACTACGAAAGCGTCGTTGGTAGCAACCCCCGGCTATTAGGGATAGATAATTTAAAATTTGTCAAACACTCCGAGCCCTCTCAACAAATAGCTTTTTCGCAGGGCAATACGCAAAGACCACAAACACTTCAACAAAATCGCGGTAGACCTCGGAGGCACGCTAATGCGTCGAAATGTGGAACCGAGGGACATTTTGATCCGGCCGGTCATTATTTTTTTTTTCTTCATTTTTTGTAAAATTTAATGTATTTTTATATTATTTATTATTGATTTGTTTTTTACTTATTCTTATTTACTATTAAAAAAAGAAAAAAAAGAAAGAAAAAAAGGGAGGATGTGCCATCTCATATAGCGTATAGACTCAAAGTTAAGATTAAATTTTATAAAATAGATGTAAGCGCCATATGATATAATATGGCGCATCAGCGTACAAACTACGGTCATTTTCGTATTTTTTTTCAAAATATAGTTTTTTTAGTATTTTTTTTAAAATATATGTGTTATTCTAAAAAAAAAATTGTAACAACTCGGTCTTCTAAGAAAATCATCAAAGTATTGACTATTTACGTATTGAGCTGGCCAAAGAAACATGTTGATAACTTAAGTAGCGTCTGACCAAAGGATAATATTGAAAGCATTTACCAAAGGGAACATTGCAAAATCTTCATGATACATGCCCAAATGATACTTTACCGGATGTTTTCGAAAAATGTTTAATAATCAACGTATCAGATTGAGTTCAGATGATAATTAGATATAATGCTATTTCTAGAGGATAAGATTACTAAAATTCTTTTCAATAGCTTTCTACAAATATAACATAAGTTAGAAAATACAAATTTTCTCTTATATCTTATTCTTATTAAAAATCAAAATCAAAATTATTATTTTTCAAATCAACTTTTATTCAACCTAATTTGCATTTTTTATATTTCATATGGTCTCTAACATAAAAAATAAGTTTTCTTTTTAAATTAATTGAATAATTTATAATCTATTATATATATCAGTTATGTTTATTTTTTCAAAAATTTAAAAAGTAATTTTTTTTCTTATACATTAAAAAATTACTTAACACAAGTGTTAAATAGATTATTTAAAAAATATTTTCATACTTTGTTCAAACAGTAAAATCATATATATATATATATATATATATATATATATATATATATATATATATATATATATATATATATATATATATATATATATATATATATATATATATATATATATATATATATATATATATATATATATATATATATATATATATATATATATATATATATATATATATATATATATATATATATATATATATATTCATTTTTTAGTTTCCAAATAAAGAATAATAGCTATTTTTTAAATTTAAATATGGTATTATCCCTAGTTACTACTCCATATATTTTGAAAGGGAGGAGAGTGGAGACGTGTTAATAATGATAGTGTGTGGATAATAAACTCAATCTCATCGTAGCCATAGAACCAAAAACCTTTATCAATTCAACTTTCTATTCCCTAACATTCACCAGCTAAATCCATGGCTGTTTCCACTACATTCAAGCTCTCGCTCTTATTCACTCTCATCTCACTTTCATTATCGGCTATTCCCCCGACGTGCAAGCGCATAGAGTGTCCCAATTACGATGTCATACAAGCCGGAAATGGCTACGAAATCCGTCGATATAACTCAACTGTTTGGATTTCTAGTGACCCAATTCAAGAAATTTCTCTCGTTGAAGCTACAAGAACCGGTTTCTTGAGGTAATTTTTATGGACTAATATATGTTTAATGTAAAATATTTTTCTACTAAACTGGCTTAGACATTAGGTTCATACTCAACAATCCATTAAATTCAATGTTAAGTTGGAGTGCTTATGGTGCTGAACTGTCCCACCTAAAGAGGTAACATATGAAGCACATACACGGATGCGGCAAGTCCAAAAACCGCCATGTATATCGGTCATATCGGCTCTAGCACCACAATTTGATAACACTGATCGAGATGTATGACCCTCACACAATTCGTTTCGGACAATTGAGTCATGTTTAAATTTTTTTTTCTTTTCAACATAACTTATACATTTTTTAGACAAATCTAAATATGTATTGAGCAACAACGTTATCAATGCAAAGATCAATTTTGATTATAATATTTTTAATCTTTGTAATAATATATGGATAAATGAATGTTAATACTATCATATATGCAGCGGTGTGAATGTTCTATTTGACATAATCAATGTCTGAGTGTGCGTCTCGCAGGAGTTTCTGTCGAAGTTTGTGCTTCATAGGAGTTAACGGAACTTCATTAATCTCTTTATTTTTTTCAGGCTTTTTGATTATATTCAGGGTAAGAACAACTACCAGCAAAAAATTGAGATGACAGCACCCGTTCTCTCTGAAGTCTTACCTAGTGATGGACCCTTTTGCAAGTCTTCATTTGTTGTAAGCTTTTATGTGCCTAAAAAGAACCAAGCAAATCCACCTCCTGCAAAGGGTCTTCAAGTTCAAAGATGGAAAACTGTGTATGCAGCTGTTAGACAGTTTGGTGGATTTGTCAAAGATACAGACGTTGGTGAGGAAGCTGCGGCTTTGAAGGAAAGTATTGCTGGTACTAAGTGGTCATCTGCTATTGATCAAAGCCGTAGAGCTGGTCATGCTTCAGTTTACTCTGTGGCTCAGTACAATGCCCCTTTTGAATTTGATAATCGGGTGAATGAGATATGGTTCTTGTTTGATTTGGAAAGTGGATCGCGTGCTATGTGAAGTTTCCCGGAAGGAACCACTCGCCAATTCCAGGTAGTATGTAAGTTTTCAATGTGAAAGCAATATGTCTAGTTTGCAGCTTGATATGTTAGTGAAGACATCTTGTTGAATTAATAAATAAAGTGCAGGCTGAAGTGTTTCACAATGCTTTTAGCTTGGCTTTTTGGTTCATGTAATGTTAAACTTTTTTAGTTGGCTATAGATGCAAAATAAAATCATAAGAATTGATATGGCTTTTGAAATGAGTGTCACCCGTTTTAAGTAGTTTATGATTTCTGTCACAAGTCCTATAATCTTCTCTTCGAGAGCACATTTCTCTGGCATTGGTGGTGAGCTTTTCCCTTCAATATGACAATAATTCTTAACAGGGTCGTCTTTAGTTTTTTATAGGTCCTGTTGGTTAACAATGGTTCAGTCGTGACAAAATAAATAGAGTCCTATTTAGTTATGATTTAACCATGAAAGATCTATTATAAGGTCCTATTTAGACATAATTTTATTCTAAAAAATTATAGGTTTTGTGTTGTAACCCATCTTGCATATCTTCAAAGACGGCCCTAATTCTTAATTACTTTGGTTCATTGTTGGTTAGAATATCTTTGTTAGTGCTACCTTTAAATCTTTCCTAGTGGGATTTTGGGAAAACCTAAAATTCCCAACAATGGTACCAAGTCAGAGCTTTTCCTTCCACAGCAACCATGATAAGCTGCACTTTCTCATTGTCATTGTTTCCCTTCAAGTCAATATATTTCTGCACTTCAATGGTTCAACCAAACACATCATCACCCTCAAGGATTGGAGTGGCACAGGTCTCTGCGACTGCCACTGCTGTCAATATTATCAAATGAGCTCCCTCAATTGAATGGTTTTTTCTATGACATTTGTATTTTTCTGCTTCAAGAATTCTCTTCAGTCTCTTAAATTTCTTTTCTCGTCACAAGATGCTTTCATACGCTTGCTCCAAAAACTCATTTCGTGCTCCCTTCCTTTTTCTAGGAATGACTATTAATTGTTGCACGACCGTGGTGTGTCTATTACAAGCAAATGATATTGGTTGGTATTTTCACTGTCTTACTAAATAGTTGTATTGATTAATTTGTTGATACAACTCATTGAATAATCATTTGAGACGTAAGTTACAAGGAGAATATAGTAATAGAATATACCAATGAAGTTGGAAAAGGAAAAGTAATGCTGGAAGTGTCACTCTGGTATTTTGACATCAGACATTTTCTCAAGATTCAAGAGTATCTGTCTGGGGCATCGAGTAAAGACAAGGAGATTCTAAGGAGGTTGTCGGAAAATTTCTACTTGAACAAGGATGATGTGCTATACAAAAGAAACTTTGACATGGTCTTGCTGCGTTGTGTGGATGAGCATGAAGCAAGCTTGCTGATGGAAGAGGTCCACGAAGGTTCTTTTGGTACTCATGCCGGTGGACATGCAATGTCTAGAAAATTATTAAGAGCAGGGTATTACTGGATGACCATAGAGTCTGACTGTTTTAAGTGTGCCAGAAAATGTCATAAATGTCAGATTTATGCTGATAAAATGCATGTGCCACCAAGCCCTCTAAATGTATTAACATCTCCTTGGCCCTTTGCAATGTGGGGAATTGATATGATTGGAAAAATTGAGCCGACTGCTTCCAATGGACTTTGCTTTATCTTGGTAGCAATTGATTATTTCAAGAAGTGGGTAGAAGCGACTTCCTTTGCCAATGTCACCAGGCAAGTGGTTGCTCATTTTATAAAGAAGGACATCATCTGCCGTTACGGAATACCAGAACGAATCATTACTGATAATGGTTCGAACTTGAATAATAAGATGATGATGGAGTTGTGCCAAAGTTTCAAAATTGAACACCATAACTCTTTTCTGTACCGTCCGAAGATGAATGACGCCGTCGAGGTAGCAAATAAAAACATCAAGAAGATCGTACAAAAGATAGTGGTGACCTATAGAGATTGGCACAAGATGTTGCCCCTTGCTTTACATGGTTATCGTATTTCGGTGCGTAAATCGACTAGGGCAACACCTTTCTCACTAGTATATGGTACGTAAGCCGTCCTACCATTAGAAGTTGAAATTCCTTCTTTAAGGGTATTATCTGATGTGAAGCTTGATGAAGCAGAATGGGTACATGCCAGGTTGAATCAACTAAGTCTGATTAATGAGAAGACATTGACAACCATTCCCCATGGCCGGTTGTACCAGAGCAAAATGAAGAAGGCTTTTGATTTAAAGGTGCACCCCTGGTACTTCCAAATAGGTGATTTGGTTCTGAAAATGATCCTTCCTCCGCAAACAGATCACAGGGAAAAATGGACTCCAAACTATGAAGGTTCATATGTCGTAAGAAATGTTTTCTCTGGTGGAGTCTTATTATTATCTACTATGGATGGTGAAGATTTTACATCCCCTGTGAACACAGACGTACTCAAAAAATATTTTGCTTATAATAGACTCGGTGGACAGAAAAAGAAAGTCCAGGCAAAAAGGGGGCATCCCGACGAACCACAAAAGTAAAAGGTTCGGGCAAAAATTAGGGATAAAAAGAAAAAAAGAAAAAACCCGCAAAGTTGAAAACCTGAAAAGGCGACTTTGGAAAAAATGGGTATCCTAGTGGATTGAAAATCCGCAAGGGCGATCTAGGAAAAAGTTAGGGATTTAAAAGCAAACGAATGTGGTCTGCGTTCGATCTGTGAACTCACCTTGACACATGGAGATCCCAAAGGGTAAAAATCAGTCTCTTCAGAAGGCAGAGAATTGCTTGTTAGAAGATGGCGCGAATCTAGAAGGGGAAGGGGGTTGAATAGACCGCTTGCTTAAAAAGAGTCGGTGCTACCAAATAAAATTCGTTTTTAAAAATTGTTTAATTTGCGGAAGCAGGCCGATGAACTATACCGTCTATAATGAACGGTTACTAGGAAACCGGATATGCGTCAAGCCTATGGAATCTGATAACGAGTAATGAGAATCACTACGCTAGTCACACTATCAAACACTTGGAGTGTAGAGCACAACAAGTGAGTTCTGCTTTGAGTGAGTAACTCAAGTTTCCTCGTACAATCAAGGATTGTACTAGATTCAAAATCAGTTTAGCACTACTCAAATCGGTCCTAAATTGATATAATTGTTTGTAATAAAATCCACAAATATTAAGCAATGTAAAATGTAAGGCAAAAGACGCAACGATTTGTTGAGGCAGTTCCCCCGTCGTCCTCGCTTCGGGGTACGTCTGCCTTCAATTCTAACAATAGAATTGAGACCTTATAATATAAATTTAACCTGTTGTAGAAATGTATATACAAGAATTGAATAACAATCAAACAAAAGAACACCCTTGTTGTTGTAGATGCTATCTCCTCTTGCCCCTTGATTCGAGTCGAATCAAGTCCTTTGACAACTTGTGAATAAACTTCCGATTACAGCTCTATGTTTGAACAACCTTCCGTCTTCAAACCCCATCCAAGCTGATTTCAATCACTCGCGTGTCGAATCCGAAACTCTCCTTCAAAATCCTCCGTTTACCGTTACTAAATCGACGGAACTCACCGCTCATCGATTACCTTCACTCGGCTGAATATGTGTTGAGAAGAATCATGCAAAAAACCCCAAATTCAGAGAATATTGGAGGACAAAACCCTAGAGGTTTTATTCAAGAAAAACCTGTCAATTCCTCAACCCGAACCAGATTACCCAATCAGCGCTTCGAACGTTATCACCTCTAACAATGCATAATGCACAACAAAGATTATTGTGTGTGATTGTTGTAGTATGCTATGAAGAAGATGAAGATGATGAGAACTGAATTGACACCTATTTCACTTTTCTTGTTTTTCTCTATCACAATGATTATGTAGTGAAAAGAGCAACTGAATATTTATATCAGACAAAAACTGTTATAACTTGTCATACCCCAAATTTTACCCTTAGATCACTGATCAGTTTGCATTTCATTTTGGTCTGTATTTCAGTTTTACTAATCGTTAACCAGTTTGCTTAGTTGTTCGTTTTGCAGGTGAGTCGAAGGTGGTCTCATGTGTCCATCACGTCAGTCTGGATCTATATGGATTATAAAATCTTAAACATTTACAGATTTGTCATCAACATCGTCCTGAGCCTCGATGTGAAAGTTCACATCCTGACGGTCGAGATTCGGAGTTTAATTTGATCAGGATTCTAAATTCCAAGGATTCAGGGTGCCGTGTAATGGTATGGATTCAAAATATTGCGGTCTGAGGCAAGATTACCATTCTTTTCGTGGATTAAAATTACATGAGTTATGCTGCTTCTAAAATTATGGTTGGGTCGGGATGGAATGTTTGCATCAAATTCATACTGGATGTTAGTTGGTTTCAAGTAATTGCAAGTTGTCAGAGGTTTCAAATTCGGATTGCGAAGTTTAAAGTATATTTGGAATGAGATATGGATTGAAATTAAGTTCGGAAGAATAAAGTTCATTTTATTAAAAGATCGAATTTATTCATATTGTTCAAAACCAATTTCCATTACAATGTTCGAATTACATCAAGAATCAGAAGTTACAATTTTTTGGGAATTATAAGGCCTAGTCCTATTTTCTAAAATCCTAAGTTCTAAGTCCGAGTTCTTCAGCTTCCAAGTTCTCAAATTTCCGAATCGTCAAAACCTGCAAAAATTAATAAAAGAATTGTCAGATGGAAATTTATTTTTTTTACGAAAAGGGATTTGATTTTTAATTTTATTTCGGACTCTTAGGCCCAAATCGGGCAATAAGAGATCTGCTACCAAACTCCTCGTTTTACTTCCCACAGTCTCAGGCCCAAATCAGGCAATATCATGTTCTGTCCTGTCGTGGTAAATTTGGATACCAAGCTATTGATGAGCTTGAATCTAATTCATTTGCAACCGAACTTTGATTTGTCCAAAGGAAGGGAAAAAAGATCGAAATACCCACAATGCAATGCAAATGCAAGCTAGAGAGTTATAGGTTCGGGGGTTGGTTAAACTTAGGG